GGCCAGGGCTAATTTGGGAAACTGCAAGATCTACTTTCACAAGCAGCCTTCTCAGGAACCCTTTGACCCTAGCCATGTAAATGAAGGGCACTGTGAGTCAGAAATAAATCCCGTCTATAACAAGCACAGGCAGCTTTTTCTCTGAGAGTCTGCAAGCTGATCGTGTACCTGGAAAGTAGGTCACAGTGATGGGAATGAGGGCAGGTGGGTAACTCTCAGCCCCTTTCCTGCGTGGCGACTTCTCTGGGGCAGCCTCGCATGTGAAGTACGGAAACTGGAAATAACTCACTTCCTGAACACCCCCTCCTTCCTACCTGAGGGTCTTGCACCTGCTGCTGCTTCTGCCCAGTACATCTCCCGCACAGGCAACTGTGATGCAGGTGCCATGGCCAGGACCACAGATCCCAGCACCTGCCCCCGTCCCTAATTACCGGATGGTCTCTTGAGGCCTCAAAGAGCGATCTGCTGCTGTAGGTTGATTCATTCGACATATGGCTGCGTGGAACTGTCCACGGTCCTCTCCTTTCTTACTAACTGCTGGAAAACAGACACATAACATAGCACTTGCTGATCCAATGTTTCCAGGAGCCTCACTGCGCGACAGCCACGACATTAATCATGCTGTGCACTATCGGCTAGCCATGGCCAGGCTCCCATTATGTGTCCATCATTTTACAGGGCATTTCCTACATCATCATAACAAATAACTCATCTACTCTCTGCAAGGAGCCAGACATAAAATACTTGCATTTTTTTGCAGATGACTTCTGAGCTTTCATTTAAAGGGGATTATTGCCTTCCCAGTTTTGCAGATGTACAACCAGAGGCACCTTGAGACCCCTGCCTTGCCCTCAGCTGATGGGCGGACCGCCTCTCTGACCCAGGTCTTCTTGACGCCACTCCACTCCACCTCTCTCCTCTGAAGTGCAGACATATCTGTTCACTTGGGAATTGACTCTGCTGGACTCATCCAGTTCTCAAAAGCAAGTGAAATACAAATCCTTATGGAATCCAGATCCAGAGAGGCCGGGTGACCCCTTGGAAAGAACCCTTAAAACCCCCAAATACCCCGGCGTCTTCTTGGAAGGATAGCTGGGCTTCATGCGTACAGCGAGTCTGCCTTACACTGTACTCCAGAACCACCTCTGGGATCAAGCTGACAACAGCAACTCGGACAAACTCGGGGCAGTGGGTTCACAGGGAAGGTGGAAGAGCGGGTGAGATGTCTGCACAACGTAAACCATCATCGGTGTCACAAGGATAGGGAGTTGGACTGTGGGGAGAGGTAGATGCTAGCAGGCATCTCCCCCGAGGGCGATCAGTTGCCAAACTGCAGTGCCCCCTCCCACCCCCCCCCCCCCCCCCAGACAATGGACAGGCTCCTGTAGGCGGAGTTCACATTCTACTGATAAGGGTCTCTATCAGTTGAGCCAGGAACAAGCCGAACTGGCTCTGTGACATCCAAAGTTAGGCTGCCATCCTGCATCTAGGATCCGCCCATCTTGTCACATGTATACCCCCAATTCCTCCTCTTCCTATTGCATGTATGTCCCTAGACCACCCCCTCTCATTGCTGCATAAGCTATAGTGCAACCCCTTCCTGTGACATATGTCTTTACCTGTAATTAGTGGCCTCCACGCCCCAAAAGGTATATAGGCATGGGTCAGCTATAGAGCTCTCTCTCACTGGGCTCTTGCTGGTCACTCCCCTCTCTTCCCCCTCTCCCCCTTGCTCCCTTTGCCATCCTTGTCCTTCTTCCCTTCCCCCTCTCTCCACCTAGACCACCAAGCTGGGCTGCGGTGAGCAATGCTACCACGAATTGTGTCTGACTCCAGTTATTCCAATCTCTCCTCTAACTCTCATGCTCTCTATGACTTTACTATAATCTTTACTTATTATCGCTGTACAATTG